ATGCACTACCTGCGGGCGCACTACCAGGAGGCCATCGATGTGTACAAGCGGGTTCTGGTTGACAACAAGGACTACATGGCCATAAATGTGTATCTGGCGTTGTGCTTCTACAAATTGGACTACTACGACATGTCCCAGGAGGTACTGGATGTGTATCTCGGTCAGCATTCGGACAGCACCATTGCCATCAATCTGAAGGCCTGCAATCGCTTCCGGTTATTCAATGGCCGTGTGGCCGAGCAGGAGATCAAAAATATTGCCGATAATGGCACCTTTGGTGCGGATCTGTTGCGTCACAATCTGGTGGTGTTTCGGAATGGCGAAGGAGCCCTGCGAGTCCTGCCAGCACTGCTTAATATTGTGCCCGAAGCTCGTCTCAATCTGGCTATTTATTATCTGAAACAGGGAGATGTCCAGGAGGCACATGCTCTGATGAAAGAGCTGCAACCCACATCGCCACACGAATACATACTCAAGGGTGTGGTTCATGCCGCTTTGGGGCAACAATTGGGTTCGGTATGGCATTGCATTTTGCAATTATTAACTTCATTTACATCTCCGTTTTGGTTTTTTTTTTTTTGTGCAGAAAGAACACATCAAGACCGCTCAGCAGAATCTGCATTTGGTTGGCAGCTCGGCCACAGAATGTGATACGATACCGGGGCGTCAGAGCATGGCCTCTGCCTTCTTCCTGTACCAACAGTTCGAGGAGGTTCTCGTGTACATGAACTCGATAAGGAGCTATTTTGTCAACGATGATGTTTTCAACTATAATTTCGCACAGGCCAAATGTGCCACAGGATACTACAAGGAGGCCGAGGAGCTGCTCATGCAAATCACCGATATGGATATCAAGAATCAACACACATACTGCATGATCCTGGCCAAGTGCCACATCCATTGCTCCCATCCGGAACTGGCTTGGAATGTTTTCATCACGCGGGACACAAATGCAGAGGCCTTTCTCCTGCTGCAGCTCATTGCCAATGAGTGCTACAAATGCGAGGAGTTCTGGGTGGCTGCCAAGGCATTCGATATGCTCGAAAAGTGAGTTTTTATTCCGTTTATACTCCACCCAAAAAACTCCAAAAATGTAATCTATGGTTCTGTTTGTCTTAGACTCGATCCTAGTCCAGAGAATTGGGAAGGCAAGCGAGGTGCCTGTGCGGGTGTCTTGTATGCCATGGCCACAAAAGCTCATCGTGGACGTGCTGGCGGTGGCATATCAGAGGTTATTGGCATTCTTAGGGAATCATCCAATTCTCAGGCAGAGGCCATGATCAAAACTATACGTAAACATATAAGTAATTTCAAATAAAGTATTTATGTTATAGTTAATAGTTGCAGTTAATAGGAAATCAATTTTTAAAAATCAAATTTCCATCTACAAAAATCCAAAAAATATAATTAAATAAAAGACTCCTAATCGGATCTCGCAAATAACAACAACAACAATTTTAGGGTGTCTGCAAAAAAAATTAAATTATTTTACGGACATTATGCATTTTGGGACAAAAGCAACAAAAATCTAATTTGTTTTATTTATTTTGCTTTTTGTCATTTCCTTTTTGATTCTTTTTTGTGTCTGCCCAAATCGTGACTTCTGCGTATGTACGAGTATGCCTGCAAGTGTGTTTGTGCTCGTAGATGTGGCTCATAAAATATATAAGCGCTTTGTCTATGACTATCTGTCTATCTCCCTCACCCTCTGCACCTTTGCATACACCTTTTTTTTGTGCGTCTGTTGTTGCGTGTTCGTTCTTGTCTGTTCAGAGAAGACAAACGAAGATAAGAAGTGTATTCGGTTCAGTGGCAGAACGGGTTTTTCTTTGTATTTTTATTATTATTCTTATTACTTCTGCTCGTTCTCTAAGCTTATAGATCATCTAAAATTAACGTGATTAATGCAAATATTTTCATATTTTCATTTGCCTTTCTAATTCAATCATAAATTTCTGGTAATCCAATTTCAATAATTTTAAACCCAATTATCAGCCACAACCGAAGCTCGAAGTGAAACCAAATTGATTTTGAGTGTTCATTTCGGAAATTAATTAAGTCATAAGCATCACAAAAATGATGATACATATTAATTTATTGACAAAACTTTGCCAGGCATCAATTTTCTCATCATTAGTGATTAATTTGTGGCACATACAATACACTCAAATGTGGCATCCGCAAAAACACTTTGTCTAATTAATTTAATAGAAATTTGTCAGGGGGAAAATTTGCAAAAGTTATGTCCGCTCAGTCCACTTAATAAATCTGGGCCAACATCTTTCAAAAACTAATTGATAATTAATGAAATAAAATTCCATCTTCATCTTTTGCTTTTGCTGCTGCTGCCAACAAAATTCTCTGCTCAATTTAATTCCCTTGAGAGGCAATTATGCTTGAAATGTAGCCCCATCCTTACAGCTCGCTATCTCTTTCTCTCTCTCTGGCCTTCTTCTTTCTTTGCCTGCAGTTTTGCTTTTGTTCAATTTGCTGGCCATTTGCTTGCCTGCAGGCTTTGAGCCAACACCAGAGACACAGAACCAGGGCCAAAACGAGTACCAAAGGCCCAGCAGCAAATGAGAGAAACGCATAATTAATGCGATTAGCAAAATGCGAAAGTGTGACAGCAATAACAACAATACGGACTATGATAATAGCAACAAAAGAGGGAAATTTAAAAGGATTTATGGAATTAGGGATACTCTCTTCCAGATAAATTAATTTATAGAGTTTTTTCTATTGGAAAATTCTTATAAAAAAGCACACAATTTAGAAGTATGCCAAATCACAAATAAGGATCTTATCTAACAGGATTTCTAACATCGAGGCGATCGGATAATTTTTAAAGACAAAATAAGGAAAATTTACCCAGAGTGGCTTAGCAATAAAGGTTATATTTTCATGTTCTCGAAGTGGTGAGCTGTCCCCTGACTTTTGTTTATACTTCTGTTTAAACCTTTTGTTTACCAAAATAGCGGCACATTTAACCTAACCCAAATTCTACCCTAAGTTAGCCTAAAGTAAAACAACGCATGATGCTCACATTTAGGGGCTTCACAGGGGTCGTTCCCTCTGTATTTTAGTTGGAGCCTGGGCAATTGCTCCTCCGTAGACCAGCGGAAATGTGTCGCAGCCATTTTGTCTAATTGGCTTTGGCTGCTTAGTCGAGAGAGAGCGAAAGATAAACCGGAAATGGCGCAGCATTCGAGTTAAATATATGTATAGATTTTTCCTGTAACACTTTTGCTAATTAGTCGAGCAAAATATTTAAACAGCAGTTTGCGATGAGAAGAAAAACTTTAAGGCATCTGATGCAAATTTTTTTTTGTGCTCAAACAAAAACTTTTGGCCAGGCTATAAATCAGCTGCTGGGGTCTTCGGGCTCTTCGCTTTTTCTCTACGCTCTTAACAATTCCATTACAAAAATTAAAAGCAAATGCAAAGAGAGAAAAAGAGAGAGAGACAGAGAGAGGGAACTTTTTCCAGCTTGAAAAAAGATTAAAAAAAAAAAACGATGCAAAGAAAATAGTTATTAAATATTTCTTTGGCTCAATTGCTGAGCAAACTTTTCGTACAGACAGCCAGCCAGCCAGCACCTACGTATAAATGAAAAGAAAAATTGCTAACCAAAAGAAAGACAGAAAAAGTTCTCCTGATCCTGAAAGTTCTTTTGAATATAGTGAAACACATATGTAGCATGTACATAAACTGTGTGTTAATGTAAGTTTCTTAATTCCCTGATACATGTCTCTTTAGTGCTAAGCCAAATATCCAAATTTTTTGAATATATCATCCACATATGTATATAACAGAAACAATCTGCCAGAGGGTATTTCAATTCTCGTCCTTCAAAGCTAGCTTTTCTTTTAGGTTTTCTTCTTAATTTTTTCAACGCATTTTCTTTAGTTTTTGTTCAACTATTAATTTGCATGCTTATCGCTATAGCATTTAAGTTAAGTTCAGACTCTTTTGTACACACAAACAAAAGGATATAGAAACCCCTAGACACCCAAAAAGATTCAAAGGACACACAGATACTGCAGGCCATGCGCCTTTGCCTTTGCGTTTGCCCCTCGCCTCTACTTTCGCCGTTCGCTGAGCAAACAAACTTTTAAATTCCATTAAGTGCCAATAAATTTTGCAACTGATATAGCCGAACGAACAGTCGCCCTCTGGCGGTCATTTGCTGGCCACCCAGGCTTAACTTAAAGCTATAGCTTTAAGGCGCAGCAGCTTAATTAGGCGCAGCAGCTAATTAAGGTGTTCCAAAGGTTCTTTTACCTGAAAGTTATGAGCAGCAGAGATCTAGAGATAGTCTAAAGAAAGGGAAATGTAAGAGGGAAAAGCAAAAACCAACAGCAAAGAAAGTAAGCAGCTAATGAGAAAAATAGCAAGAAAATGAGCTGCAACTGCAGCTCTCAAGCCAAACGACTAAAAACACGACACTTTTTGGCCAAATTAAATATTAAAATCAAATCACATTTCCACACACACACAAAAACAAACTCAAGTCAAAGTTTAACTAAATTAAACAAAGCCTTAATCAGTCTTAATTTAGTTTGAACTTAAGCCAACCCTTCTAAGTTAAAGCAAACCATGCAAAGCAATCAAAAGTAGACGGGGTAGCCACACACAAAAAACAGGGCGCCAGACGACTCTCAACCTTAACCTCTAGAAATATGCGGCTAATGTATGCATCATGTCTAAAACCCAAGGTTATCTGCATGATTAACGAGCTTCATAGTTAAGGTGCAAAAAAAAATTAAATAAACTTTCCAGACATTAAAAGAAAATCTGGCCAAAGGCCAAATGGAATTAAAAATAAGAAATATTTCGACCAACAAAAAGCAGATTCCACATTTACATATGTTCACACGTGACTGGCCATTTAACATTCCCTTGAAATTTAGTTTTCAAAATCATTTTCTATATATTAAAAAAAAAAAAAAAGTTCCTTAGTTTTTAGCCTTGTAAAAGTACTCTAAAAAAAGTCGAAAAATCATAACTCTAAACAAAATCGTATAGTACACACACCCCACAAGCCCCTATTGAAACATAAAAGTCAAATTTCCCTAGTTATAAATTCTTTACATTTATTCCAAATTCAATAAATTTTCTCAGTGAACGAACCAAAGAGAGGAACGATGAGTGCGGACGAATGCAAATTGAAGTCCAGCGTCTACGAGGAGCTGACGCATCGCAGCCTCAAGCGGCAGCTGGAAAGGAATGGCACAATGGCGGACCTACGCAGCGGATTGCATGTGAAAATAATCAAGATGATCCAAGAAAATCTAGGTGGCAGACCAAATGAGCCTTTGGCGGGACCAGAGGCAGTTCAAGGCAAGGATCAGGGTTTGTCGCCACTCATCAATCAACTGATGATGGAGTACTTTGAATGGTTCGGCTATAGGCATACGCTGGAAACATTCAAGATGGAGACGGGTCAGCAGTTCGCATCGCGCAAGGAGATTGAACTGGTCCAATCCCTGCATTTACATTCGAGTGATGTTCCCATTTTGGTGCAATTAATATTGCGACAACAGGGTGGTAATCTGCCAGAGAAAAAGAACTGTCCAAGGAAGAACATTAAGGTGGCCCCAAAGAAGATTGTGAAGCAGCCACTGCCAGAGAAATCCATTAAGCTCTCACTGCCAGAGAAATCTATGAAACGTTCACTGCCAGAGAAATCCATGAAGCTCCCACCACCAGAAAAATCGATAAAGAACCAAAGAACCAGAGAGAAATTGGGCCGTAAGCTGCAAATACCAGAGAATTCGATACCCGAACGTTGCACCAAACTGAAAGAAAGGCTTGAGACTATGCGAACCCTCAAAGAAACAGCCAAAACGGATTGGAATACCCCAGTACCCAAATTGGTACAAAACAATCGAAAACTCATCGATAAAAAGTTCGAAAGCCATTTAAAAAAATCCACCGTGGTCAAGACTCAAATGAAAGAGAATCCAAAATCATCTTTTCACATTCCAAAGGAGTCGCCGGAGAGTAGGCCCCCAGCCAATAGCTCCGAGTCCGATGAGCTTCCCAGTTACGATGAACATAGCGATACCTCTTCAGATATACCCGATAGACACTACTACGTTGAGCTGGAGCCACCGGAGGTCGAATACGCCCACGGACATGGCGAGGAGGGGCCCTACATGGCCAAGCAGACCAAGGCCGAGACTCTGTTTCAACAGTATCGGCAAGACGAACCTATCGACTCATCGAAAGCCATTAACCAACAAAAATCAATGACTTCCAGGCAGCCACCAATGAAAAAACCATCGATAACATTCACAAAGAAATCAGCTGTCAAACGTAAGGCCTTTGAAATTCCCGAGCTCTTTGTCACGACGCCACCGGACAATAAAGAGCCGAGGAGTGTCCGCGAGGGTCTAAATATAAATCTGAGCAAATTTATGGGCACCAAAAACAAGATCTCCTCTGCTCAGAGCACCCCTAAGAAGAGTCCGCTGTGGAATAAGATTGAGGTCGAGGAGGACGAACCAAATCTGATAGTCAGCAAGCCACCGTGTCCGGATACCCACATCAATGGCGTTGAACTTGATAGCAGCTCAGAGAGCAATGAGGATGGTGGCTACACCGGAGACGAGGCTAGCGATGATGAGGATCAGTAGATTTTAATGGAGATCTCTGGGGTTGAGATCCAAACGATGGCAAATCTCTTTTATTGCAAATTTATAAACATTTTGTCTAGATTTATTTAATTTTTGCATTTTAGAATGTAAAGAATGATCCAAACGATGGCAAATCTCTTTTATTCCAAATTTATAAACATTTTTTTCTAGATTTATTTAATTTTTGCATTTTAGAATGTAAAACGTTTTTATCTACAACAATATTTTTTAAATGATATTTACACTAGTATTTTTGACGAGTATTTTTGTATTTTCTGATTTTATTTTCTATGTACAAAATTAATAAATATTTTCTTAAAAAGTCGCTCATTTAAATCTGAATCTATTTCCTCAACTATTAAGCGGCAAGTTCAACCGAAAACGTATTATAGAAGCTTCCTTCCCCTATTCCCTGCCATTCAACATTAATTGCTCCCCCATAAGAATCTATTTCCTTTCGATTCAATTAATTTATGTGGGCTGGAGTTTCCTTTAGGAAATAGTCGTATTTAATATTCGTAACAGCAAACCAGTAGGTTAACAATTAGTTAACATGCCTTTGGGGTCAATTGGAGATGGAGGGTTTCTCCATTGGCCATTGTGTTACATCATTATAATTGAAATCAATATCCCCCAGATGGCTACAATGATTGAAGGTGGGTGGAGGCTGGAGGAAATGCAGTAACGCAAACGGATGCTGCCTGTCATTTGGATTGCATTAAAATGGCGTGCGAGTCTTAACACCATTAATTACATCTAGCAATGAGTCAATATTATGACAGTTGCAACTGTTGCAACAAACCCCAGAAATGGTAGGTATCCAAGTTGTAGTTGGAGTTGGACCCAACACCAAGGACATCTTCCATCAATTAATTAGGCCTATCCACTGGTGCTGGGGAATCCTGAACCATTAAAGCATTTCACTAAAATTGATTGATTTTATGCACGTGTTGAAAGGATGAAGGTTCGCCCCTGGGGGCTCTATCACAGTGAGATATTTAGATGGGAGCTGACCAATTGAGGAATACTGAGACCCCAGTGGCTTCTTGGGGTCATTATGTGTTGACAGGTGAAATGAGCAGCTCTACTCGTACAATTGCTATCTGAATGGAGTTGGAATATACAATTTAAAGGTTGAACTGAGTGGCACTGACATTTAGAGTGGGGGGCTGAAAAATTCCAGATAATTACCAGAAAAATACCAATAATATATCAGAAAAATACAAAATAAATAATAGAAAATAAAAGAAAATAACAAGAAAAATACTAGATAAATACAATAAAAAAAAAACCGAATGTTTATAAATACCATTTATAATTTTTTGTGCAATAATTTTTCTCAAATTTTTCTCAAACATTTCCATTCCCAGACATCAACTCCCTAAAATATTCGCCCTATCCCCCGCATCAACTCCATCAAAACCCACTGAAAAGGCACTCAGAACTCTGTCGGAAATAAGCCTGTGTGCCACGCATAAACGTTAGCCAACTGGTGCCACGATAAATACATGTACGAGTACGTTATATTCTATATATGTATGTGTGTGTGCCGTATGTACACATACATGTACATATATCCATGTCATATCAATAACCTGTCTGTGGCATTCCGCCCGCCCGCTCATCGCATGACACACACACACACAATTCCCACAAACGTAGAGGAAAAATGCAATTTTAATTAGCCAAACGTGCGACAAACGCACGTAGAAGGCATAACCACAAGATGGCGCTGCAATTAGGCGAAACGAACACATCAGAAGCGGAACCAGAATGACTCCACCCTCTGGTCACACTCTGACAATCTTCCTCCACTCACTCTGCTGCTCACTTTGACACTCCCTCTCCCTCTCTCTCTCTCTGATCAGTCTTCTCTGGCTTCAGTCACTCTGTCATCGACTACGTGCTGCTCTGCCAAACAAAATTATGTGGCCAAATGTTCGCGGATTCCGGTAGAGGATGGAACAAGCAGTCGAATGGAACTGAACTGAACTGAACAGTGGAACAGGACAAGTGGGACAAGCAGTGGGTGGTACAGTGGACACTACGACATTCTCTGAGGGCCATTGGGGGGGGCTATGTCCAAATTACTTTATCGATTTGCCTGGTGGTACATTTGTACAATTTGGCTTGTTGCATACATTATCCGCTGAATGAGCGAGTGAATGAGCGAGTGGGGGGGCGGAGGGTGCTGGAAGGCAACCTGCTGGATGACCACGCTAACGAGCCTCATTAGTGGCATGCGTGGCGCATTGGCGGCATCTATGTGGCTCATTCTCCTCACTCCCTCCCCACCACCCTCCTCAATCGCTGACATGTGGAACGTGATTTCTTATTGGGATTCAAGCGCAATAATGATTGTCAAGCGGCTGCGACGGATGATTGAAGATTGAAGAAAATGCCATCGAAGGGAAATCTCTTTGAATCAGATTGTGTGGGATCATTATCTTTCGGAAAAGGCTGTGTTTCATACAATTTTTAATTGCTTGAATGGAGAACTATTGAGTCATTTTTTTGATTGTTGAAGAAGAGAAAGAAAATTCATTTAAATATAATCGAAGAACACTCCATAATTGTTGCATAATTAGAGCACTAATAAGGTGGAAATTGTATTCAATAAATACACGTGTTTAAGGCACTTGAAATGGTTTTCTTAGACATTTCAGTTCTAGGCTCAGTACCAAAATGTAACCACAAAATGACAGATCCAAAAACTTTTCACCACAAAATAAAATTGCTGTAAACAAATCGACACTAGGCAAATTTTGCATAAGCTTTTCCTGTTTCATCTCCTACGAAAAACCGCAAATCATTGACTCGCACAAGCATTACACATACGCCATGTGGATCCTCATGGGAGCCTTAGTTACTGCTTTTGGCAGTTGGGCCTCTCGAAAATTCATTTAAAAGTGAATAATTTTTGTGAAATTTACTCAAGTTTTGATGGGCATTAGATGCCTTAACAAGAGATTGCCTTTTAAATGAGATTATTTTATTGTTGCAAAATGCCTATGCAGAAGTTCATTTTATTGCTGGAATAAGGTTCGAAATAAATGAAATAGAGTTGTCGTAATTTATTGAATTTATTTACGGTTTTCGGTTTGAATTTTGGTTATTATTTTGCTGTAGATTCCTAATTCGATTTAGTTGGATGTTATTTTAAGAGGGTTTTAGTTACCCAAAGATTATTTTAAATGGCTTTGAAGATTTAATAGTTTTGTGTAAAAGTTAAGCAGTAGTTTTAATGTTTGCGTTGAGTTATTTCTGAGGGTCTTACGTTTTATTGGCTTACTTTTAGCTTTAGTTGGAGGGGTATTTATGGGAGCATAATTATTGCTGTGGAATCAAATATTTTGTAAGAAATAACACCCAATGACTGGTCGGAATATTCTTCAAGCAAAATCAAAGACTGGCGTCTCCCCATAATGACACTTGAAGAAAATACACAACAGAAATAGGGACACAAACAGGGCCATGCCATAGTCATATGTACAGTCTGTGACATAACGACAGCGCGTCCATTGCCATTGAAGCGGAAAAACGTATTTTAGTGATTTTTAATGCGAAAGCAATTTGAAAAGTTTTGCTTGCAAACACCAAAAAAAAAAACTTTCATGTTGGATGGGTCGCTTTTCTTTTGGTACAGTAGAGGGGCGTGAGTGTGGGTGGTGCTTAAGTGGGTGGCTGATTAGGCATTAGCCTTCCACCCACTTTTCTTTCCACCTCCCTCCCCACAAACATTCTAGAGGCTCTGTGGAGTTGATTGAAATAATTGTGGACGCTGCGGCGAAAATGTAAGGGGGAAAAGCGGGAAATTCCAAGCGCTAAACAGGCTTATGAATTGCCAAATGTGTAAATTGAGAAATAAATGCAAATGGCACGCACAAAATGGTCGTGACAGGTGGATGGAATGAACGGGAACGGCAATGGGAGTGAGAGTGATTTTATTTAGTTCTACTATAAAGGAAAAGCACTGTGGGAAAAGGGTAATAATACTTAAGAGCTGTGACAAGTGATTTAAATTACAGGGCTGTTGGAGTGTTGGAATATGTGCCACCAATCTGTGTCACTTCTCCGTTTTCCACATAGAAATTCTCCCATTTCTCCCATAAATCCCAAAATATATTTCCGACCAATTCATATGCCCAACAATCAATAGACAGCCCCAAAAACTTTAATCGAATCTCGAGTTGCCCCGCAAATCTGTGAACTCATTCGAATAAAAGTAATCCGCTTACCCCGTAAATTTCTAAGCAGACAGGTGTGATTTTCCCACAAAACCAAAGAGGAAAAGCCCATACGCGTTCAGAGGAAGTAATATACGATTTGGCAAGGGATTATCTAAGGGTCAGGAGGAGAGGGAGGCATCCTAATCAACAATTGCAATTGCTGCCCCTCGATTAACGTCAAAAAATATATCCAACATTGTTTCAGCCTTGCCTGTCTATTAGGTTTTCCATTAAAGGAGATACCGATCAGGACACACGCCGCTCTCTGTGCCAAGGATGCACGCATATGGGACGCAACTTGAAACGTAAATCGAATAAAAGCAGGCCCCCCCAAAGTAAAAGCAGTTACCAATAGCTAAAGACTTCAAGCCTTCCATTCCCTCAGAGAATGTGTGAAAGGAGGTTCCACTACGAGTATGTGTAGCAGAGGTCCTGGCAAATGCAGTGTGTGTGTGTGTTGGGGGTTGTGCCATGACAACAATGGCATTTTGATACTTTTGTATGAGATTTAATGAAATTTGAATCCTTTTGTTGAGTGGAATGACAACAGCAAGGAAGCTGCCTGGGAAAACCCAAGCAGGCGGGCGCAGAAGGAGCAGAAGCGACATGCCGAAGAAGCAGCAGGAAGCAAGACGCAGGCAAAGAAGACAACGATGGAGCCAGCTTCCTGCCTGTGGGCAAGTTTCGTGTAGACTGCACTTGCAAAAAAAAATTAATTTGTTCATTAATTTTCGAAACTTTTGTTAATGATGAAATGGAGTTTTTTTTATTATTTTTATTTATTATTATTTATTTTATTATTATTATTTATTATTTCACTTTTTTTTTGTATTTATTTTTTTTTTTTATTATTTTTATTTATTTTGATTTATTTTTTAAATATTTTAAATTTATGAATTTATCATGATTTTAATTAACAAATAAATAAACAAAAAATTCGCAACGAAATATTTTTCATATTCTTTTAATGGAAGTGTCTTTTCGATATCTCAACAAAAACTTCAACTATTTATTACTTTTTTTTCTATATATTTCTTTGCACATGCCAATTTCTCTCAGTGTGCCCTATCCAATATGCATGTAGTTAAGGTGTATATATATGTACACATACTATGGTTGTGTATAGATATTTGGGTGTCTTACAACAATAGTAAAACAATCTTCTTAATGCACACTTGGGCCTAAAGGAATTTTTCCACTTGTAAAGCGATACTTGTGCCCCACATCCTCCCCTCCCAAAACAGAGAGCCCCATCATCATTGTCAATTTGGCATTAGATATACATGTCTATATATAGAATGGAACACACAGAAGAAACATGTTAATAAACAGCTGGAAGTTTTGGTTTATTGTCATCAGAGAAAACTCTCTCTGCCTCTCTCTCTCTAGAAATAAACATCAAGGAGGGGGAGAAAGAGGCAATATGCTCGAGGGAATGCTTGCCAAAAGGGTTCCCTAGTGTTTGTTTGGGGTGGGGGGGGGGGCGTAGGGCTGAGACTGAGGGTATCAATAACATTGTTGGTCCCTCCCATTCTGGTTGTTGAGAGGGAAAGCTCTGCCTTTGAAACAACATTGCTCTTCCTCAGATATTAGTTGCCTGACAGTCTTGGGAGTGGATGATGATGATGGGGTCGCCCTCTCTCTCTCTCTCTCTCTGTGGCATGATGCCTTCTCATCATGGTTGTCATCTCTACTTCGTTTTGCTCATTTCTTCCTCTCTGGCCCACATCTTCCTTGTTTGCTCCATAGTTAAAATACACTTTCAAGTTTAATTTCGTGTTGTCCAATACATTGTTGAGGTGTTTGAGGCAGGCAAATAAAAGAGTTGCAAGTGTGGAGTGTGCAACACTTGGTAATGATTTTATGCAAGCAGAAATTTGTACTATGTATAAAGCCTTGCGGAATCAATTGTTGCCATAAATATATATTTATCGATAACTTCATGGCAACATATTCAATATTTAATTATAGAAAATAAAGTAAAAACAAGTTAAAGTTTTCCATTCTATTTTGCATATTTTGGATGCACCTAAGATATAAGTAACAGCTGGCTTTTGCCATCTATCACTTGAGTAAACGAAAGTTCTGTTTTTTTTATATTTTACCCAGCTGTAATTAATTTAATAAGAATTAATTGTCTGCTAGTTCCATATATTAATTATATTCAAATGAGTAATTAAAATTCTCCAACATCGAATCGAATATATTCGATTATCCAATACACTTAATTTCCCTTAAATATCAGCAAAAAAATTCCCGAAATTCCGATTCCCAACAACAGAACACCGTACTTATAAACTTGTCCATGACTGTCACGTGTCACCGCCCCACCCCACACTCGAGAGAGTATCTTCAGACGATTGCCAATACACTACCGCACAGACACACACACACACAAACACGTATATATATACGAGTATCTGTGTTTTGCAAATTTACATTTAATTTTTGGCCCTAAACTCCAGACAAGACACCGAACATGCAATTACGAGAACTACTACCTCAATATGGAATGAAATGGAAGTGGGCATATGGTGGGCATGATGCAGGGTGGGCGTGTACCACTTTAAGGCAATTTCCCACTGAACTTTGAACTGATTCAAGAAATGCATGAAAAATGTAACATTGCTCATGTATTTTGGGGTACAGTTGATGCCAAAAAGTAAGTATAATAATATTTTATTCGTTTATTTATTTATTAGAACGTGGAAATTTAGCTAAAACAACGTTCAGGAAGTATTTGAGAAGTTTTTTTAATAAAATAAAAATGAATTAAAAGAAATCGCGGACTCCCTAGTTATGGAGAGCTGTAGGACCTATCAAGAGGTACATTAAATTCACAGAAACGTACTCCTATTAATAAATAACAAAGAAATATTTGTCTTCCAATTCCTATATAGTTTTATATGTTTATAGCAATATTAAATATTCATTTTAAATAAATAACTATAGTCCCAAGGAATTCAACAAATTAGTCACCTTTTTTGTGCGCTTTTTTTGTAGAGGTTTCCTCGCCCTTTTTGTTCGCTGCCAGTCGAAACCAGACTAAAATTTTAATTAAAAATTACTCATATGCTAAAAACCTAAAGGAAAAAAACATTTTTTAGTAGTTATCCAACCCCATCTCTCGGCACAATAGCGTGGCGAGGCGTAAGATAAATTCTGGCTTGACGCAATTTTCTGGCAAGTAGCTTCGTTTTCTTGGCTGCTGCCTTGACGAAATATTTCGTGTGGTTACTCTTTTTTGCCTGTGGAAAACTGTGCGGCGGTGGCGGTGTTTGCGGAAAAGTATGCAGCAAGTTTATGAAAATTCTTTGTTTATGCCAAGGTGTGTATGTGCGCCCCCATCCATGTCCATGTGTGTGTCTGTGTGTGTGTGCGCTTGGGAAAATTGCGTTTGGTTTGTTAATTTTGCGTTGCTTTTCCCCGTTTCTGTCAAATTTATATGCTGGTTAGCTATCCAGCAAGCAAAACTTTTCGGTTTTTGGGCTGATGAACATATATGCAGATACGACTGAGTATCTACGAGTATGACTACGCTGGTACGAGTACGAATACGAATACGAGTACGTATCTGTGTTTGTGTCTAATTTATGAGACCAGTTAAATGTGGGACAAATTTACGGCAAACAACAAAGTTCAGAGAGCAGTCGTTTTGGCATTGAGGAGAGGTTTTCAGGCAGCATAGGCATAGTATACAAAATTTCACAACATAAAATAAAGCGAATAATAACTTTTGTATGTACCACCATAGTTCATAATCCACCTTTAAGAGCCTTTACCATAAAGCCGCCAAGATCTAGGATTTCCAACAGATAGACAGACGGTAAGAACGTTTTGGTCAGCGGTTATTTATGCTGATCAAGAATACCTATGATTTGGATGGTCGAAAACATTTTCTTCTGCAGAAACGAATAAAATATTCCCAGTTTTATGATTCCCTGACGGCACCACCTCAGCCTTAGGGGAGTTTCGCATGGGGTTGCCACCCAAATCCTACCCGTCGTAAACTTTCGTGTCAGCTGTGAACCAAAATATAGGAAGAGAATGTTGTCACGACCAGAGCAGAAGTGTCAACCGAAGAACACATTTCTGATGATGCTGCAGCGCTGATTGACGCGCTCAAATTAGTTCGCCGCATAGTAGAACTTTGTTTCACGTTAAATACCCTACTTTTATAAACCGTTTATTCCACGAGTGTCACGTGCTGTAAAGATGGAAGGATGTGCCTCTCGCTTGCTCTCAACAAAAAAGAAACAAAGTAGACATAAAAATATAAGATATTGATGGGAAAGCAAACTACCAAAAGCAGGATGTATTTAGATAAGGTGAGGCACTACCAAAGATCTCTCCAGCCATAACAAGCCATAACATGACAAGAGAGAGAGAGAGATATTCAATTATAATTATTCCAATTTGCAATTATACCCCACCTTTAATAAATGCACCTTGTGTAGAAGCCCTTGCACAGCTTCACACACGCACACCCGCCGCACGTACATACATACATACATATATATTCCCATTTGCGCGCCTAAATATTTCACACACTAATATCAATTCAATTTGTTTGCATTGACATACATATGTATGAGTGCGTGTAAGACCGTGGAGACCGTGCGTGGGTGTGTGTACAAAATTTTGCCATACGCAAATAATTTATAAAATCCAAAGACAAACAAAGCAACAGTTTAATAAAAGTTAACAGTAAACCTTACCCACACAAAACGTTAAAACTTAATTCAGAAAAAAACAATAGTTTTTTCACACACGCATATGCACGTGCATAAGTATGTATGTATGCATTCAGCGACGATTCTGTTGCGAATAAAACGAACGGCGATTTGAAGGTTACTGACGAACGAAAGCGGCACTCACAACACAATAAATGCTTTAATAAATAAATCATGATCACTTTATACACTTTACACACACTTTTTCCTATTCGGACTCCTTACTTTGCACCAAGCTGCTCCTTTCCCACACAATTATCATCTGCGACACCGCGTGACACGCTGGACCCGGTGGGTGCGCTTGCACATGAAAAAAAATGAATTTACTGCATAAAATAATATGTTTTGAGATGATACATATGCACAAAACACTTGTTGCACTTCACCTTCACATACTGCCGCATTTTCCCACGCCGATCTGCCTTTTGTATGCCAATTTGCCTTTGCCTCGGGGACGCCACCGCATTGGGGATCACTCACTTTTTTTTTGCCCATTTTCAATGTTTAATCACTGCACCACTACACAACACATCACTGCGCGACAACTCTTCCGTTTAATCTACCGAATTTGACCGATTTTCGCGAGCCGAGACGCGGAGAAGACCTTCAAATGGTTAAAGATCCGATCTAAGGAGGAATTGAATTCTATAGTAATTTTCGCGCCTGCCATCGACTGACAAAAAATACCACAAGCTGCTTCTTTTTGTGACAGTATGGCAGCTCGGTCCGCCTTTTCCTTTTTCCATCAAGCTGGCAGCTCTTTATATTCCTTTAATGAAAAATATATTAATTTTATATGATTGTTATTTCAAAAAACATCTATATTAAATAATATTTAATTTAAATTAATACATATACTGTATGGTTGGTGATTTAATTCAATAAAACGGTCACAAAATCAGATTTCGGCACTCATATTGTTACATTTAAAATAAACGTGTGTAACCTCCGAATTCGTTGCGCCTATCGCACAAAAGTACCGATACCAAATAGTATCGATATGTTGCAATATCAATATAGTACCATTCCTAGCTCATGCTAAAACGTAAACAACTTCGTTTTAAATTTATTTTATCAAATTAATAGAAATGTCCATGCAAAATGGCAAAATAATCGACCAGAAGGCATACCTAAAGAAGTATCTGTCCGGCGACAAGGAGAAGAAGAAGAAAAAGAAGGACAAAAGGCACAAAAAGTCTGCGAAAGTGAAAATCATCGACGACGATGCATACGAAGATGACGGCATGGAAATGGACGAAGATCTGTTGCTGGGCGGCGAGGATGCGCCCCAAATAGTGGGCGAGTACATCGAGGACAATCCGGAGGCTGTGCGCAGCAAGTGGCGCAACATTGCCGTCAAGGATGAGGTCAAAGAGGAGGACCAGAGCGAGGCGTCTGCTGTCCAAATCAAGCAGGAGCCGGCGGATGACCAGGCTGAGGAGGAAATGTGGGGTCGCAGGGCCACTGAGGTAAAAATGAAGAAAGAACGCTCGCCCCCAGGCACACGACGCGGCGGCAGTCCCCTGGCCATAAAAATCAAGCAGGAAAAACGTAGCACCTCAAGGGATTTGAGTCCAAAGCGCAGCACGCGTCGGGCGTCCTCTTCAGGGAGGAGAAAACGCAGCACGGATCAGAGTCCGCCGAGAAAGAAAAGGGATCCAGATCAGAGTCCACAACGAAGAAGGCGAGGCAGTCCGGATCAGAGTCCACCCAGGCGCAAGCGAGACGAAGATCAGAGTCCCCCCAGGCGCAAGCGGGACGAGGATCAAAGTCCACCCAGGCGCAAACGAGACGAAGATCAGAGTCCACCCAGGCGCAAGCGAGACGAAGATCAGAGTCCACCCAGGCGCAAACGAGACGGAGATCAGTCCCCACCACGACGGAAACGCGTCAACTTGGATCAGAGTCCGCCCAGAAGAGGGCGTAGAAGCAGCAACGACCAGAGTCCGCCACGAAGAGGACGCGACTCTGACCAGAGCCCGCCCAGACGTCGTAACAGCCCCCACTCCGACCAGAGCCCGCCCAGGCGACGCAGAGATGCCGACCAGTCGCCAGATCGCATGAGAAAAGACGCGGATCAGAGCCCACCAAGAAAACGCGAACCATCTCCCGCACGTAGGCAACGCAACTCCGATCAGAGTCCACCCAGACGGCGTCGCTCAGGCAGCAGGGATAACAGAACTCGCACTAAAGAGGAATCACCGCCAGCGCGACGCAAGAGCCGCTGGGCCAAGGGCTCGCCCTCTCCGTCGCCGCCGCCAACGCACAAGCCCAAGTCGTCCAAGACGCTTGACGGCAAGATGGCTGGCCTGCAGGACGCGCAGTCGCTGAAGAAGGAGTCGGACGAGCGGCGTCGCCGTGAGCACAATTTGTTTGAGCAAATGTCCAGCGAGGTGTCGGGCCGCGATGCTGAGATTCAGATGCGCAGCACAGGCAGACGTGGACGCAGGGCACGCGAGGCGGCCGAGGAAGATCCGGCTGAGCAGCAGCGCAAGGAGGAGCACGAGAAGAAGAAGAAGGCGCTGTACGACCGCTGGGGCAAGGGCCTAAAGCAAATCGAGGATTTGAAGGTGCGCCACGAGGAAATGGCCCATGAGGCATCGAAGCCCGTCGCCCGCTATGCCAACGACGAGGATCTGGATCGGCATCTGCGGGAGCAGGAGCACGCAGACGATCCCATGCTGGAGTATATGCGACAGAAGCGCAAGAAACAGGACAAGCTGGACAACAAGCCCGTGATGCCCAAGTATGAGGGCAGTTTTCCGGAGAATCGCTATGGCATTCGTCCCGGCTATCGCTGGGATGGCGTGGACCGTTCCAATGGCTACGAGCAGCGCTGGTTTGACAAGCAGAACGAGCGCAAGGCGATGCAGGACGAGGCGTACAAGTACAGTGTGGAGGATATGTAAATGTTGAAAGGAATTTTTATATTTTTTGTTTGCAATAAAGATTCAAACGGGTGCCGCCGATAGTCGATTACTTTTTTTTTTGAATCTACAGCTGTCTTGCAGCACTGTGGAGCTGGAGCCACCTGCAACACTAGCCCTGCTCCCCACAGCAACCCTGTGTGTAGAATAGCAAAGCAAAAGCAAATGGTAAATACAGAGTCTTCCCGTCTTCACCTGCGACCTGTCGAAAATCAGCCCAAAAAGTCTTTGATTTGTTTGAAATTTAATTTAATTAATTAATTGAAAGTGTGTGCCCGACTGTGGCTATCAATTTCAAGCGGGTAAGTTGCGTTTAATATTAAATTAAAGCCATTTAGATTTCTGCCTCGTAAGCAGTGTGTATGTAAATAGTGCTGCTGCTGGCTTTGTTTCTGTTTGTGGCAGCGAACAAAGCGTAACAATTTACTCACAGAACCAGATGAGAGTGCGTGTGTGTGTGTGTGTGAGTGTAAGAGTGTTTGCCCCGCCCCCGTTAATTAGCATAAAACGCTCGTAACCACAAAAAGCAGCAGCAGCAACAACGATAGAGAAACGTGTTGTTGCTTGCATTTTCCAAGCGCACACGCGATTTGTATGAGAGAGGAGGCTCTTCAGCTGCTGCTGCTGCTGCCTGCCCTGCCCTTCGCCTTCACCCATTGTCGGTCAGCCGTTGGAAACCTGTTTGTTTTGTTTGCTGCTGCTGCTGTTTCTTGTTGTGTTGTGATTATGTGTGTGGGGCAGTCTGCAATTTTCATGGCCTGTGCAAAAAACCGAAAATTGGCGCGAAAACTTTTCCAGCTGCAGAAAATGTGTCAGTCAGGCAATCAGCCAGCAGGCGCATGCATGTCCGTTGTCTCCATTTCCATCTCTCTGCGGGTGCTTGGGTGTGTGTGTGCGTGTGTGTGCGAAAGATGCATACTTTGCATTCATCTGTATACCCCCTCCCACTTTGCTCTGCTTCTTTGTCTCGCTATATCCTGCTTTTTGGCATACAAATGAAGCTTCCGCACATGGTCTTCATTCATGGCACTGACTGTTAACTCCCCCTCTCTCTCTCACTTTGTGTTTGTTTGAATGGAATGGACGTATGGAATTCATCGTAAATTGGGGAGCATGTGATAAAACGAGAAATTAGTGTTGGTAGCCGTCTGCACAGTGCCATCTGTGGCACAGCTTTGACTTTATTTGCGTTAAAACGAAGTTAACCAACACCAAATAAATCATATATTTCTCTCTGTCGCACTGCTTGATTTTACCATAAGGTTTTAGAATCATCTGTCCGTTAGTTCCTTTTCAGGTCTAGTGGAATAGGCCATTATTTGGTCCTAAATTATACCATAAGCTTCAACAGAAATATTTGATTATTTTTGAAGGGTATCATAACATCGACTTGTCGACTTTTGCCTTATTATGGGCTCTTTGTTGGCCTGTGTGCCGTGTTCTTTGGCCATGAGCAAGTTCCTTCAACTTTTTGGCTCTTGTTCGAATCTGCTCGGGGATCTGCTCCACCTCTAAGATCGCCATGTTCAAGTGCGCGCGAAAGGGATGCAAAGATCCCTGGGGCGCCCCCCCAAAAACAGCAGAAAACGTAGAAAAGTTTATGGGAAAGGCACCCCCAAAAAGAACCTTCGCAGGTCCAGAAACATCCCCCAAGGCGAAGCTCAACCCTTGTCCTTGGCATTTCTACTTGCATTTCCTTGGCTTTTCCCGATGCTTCCTTACTCTCGTTTTTTTTGGGGGTGTGCTTCCAAGGACCCACTGACATGACATTGTAATGGTGTGTAATAGAAATTTACACACATCTCACGCTGAGTGTATGGCGGGGTGTGCACCCCTTAGATGGGATGTCCTTCGCTGAGGGGTTGATTCGCTATTGTGTGGAGTGGATTTTTGTGGACCGGGCTACGAGTTCTTTAAAGCGTTTTTTAATTCCTTTACATGGGCCAAAGTTATTCAAATTCCCTTTGTTCCGAATGGGAACTCTGTTGAATGCCGAATGGGGAGGGAATCTCATTTCTCTGTAATTTCCTCTCTCTGCTGCTGCTGCTGTATGGCACCACGTGCTTAGATTTTGGGATTTCTGTTGGTCCTGTTGCTATGCAGGAATTCAACATCAAACTGGAAATCAAAAGAAAATCTTCCAATCAGTTGGTCTTTTCCAATTCGAATGGACTCTGGACTAATTCCTTAATTATTACCTCAAAAGGAAATTCAAACTGAGAGGGAGACAAAGAGAATCCTAATATGTACGTACACCCCGCTAGGAGGAAAAAAAAACAATCAAATTTTCATAATTTTTCCTGGCCATCTGCCACGTAGCCTTAGGGCACATCTTAGAACAATGCCACGGCGCTCTGCTGGAAACTAGTTTTCCCCCTCGTTTTTCTTCTCTTTTCTAGGGGAAAAACAGAAGGCAAATGCCTTGTAACCAGTTTTCGCTAATTTGTGCACACGTGCAAATCCTTACACAAAAGATTCGATCCTTTTGACAACGAACTGGTTTGGTTCCTTCCCTCCTCCTTCGAGACGAGAGACAAAGTGAAAGTGTTAGGTTCAAAGCGCCGCCGGGCCATTGACACGGGAAATTAAGGTTAATTCATCAAAATATGAGTAAAAAGTTGTCTTGTAGAAAAAATACATTTTTCTTGGCTCATTTGTCGCTTGGATAATTGGGATTTTTTTCGAAGACATTTCCGGGGGTTCAAGTGGTGTCGAGATGATGCAGCATTATTATATATCATATATATGAGAAAATTGGATGATTATAAATGAGAGTTTAAGCTGCGGTTCAAGTGCAGGAGAAGAAGTGAAGAAAGCTGAGATCAAACAAGGGGATCTCCTTAAAAAAGGATCAATCGAGTGAGAGTTATAATGAATATAGGATCAAAGGGAGAATTTTTGTTTAGTAATTGAAATTATTGATTAATATTATGCTAAGATTGGTGTAGTTTCAAGTTTAAATATCTTAAAGAATTATTTTAAAACATTTTTTTATAAAAACTTAACCGACAGCCAAAGCTGCTGGGACATTCGGCTGGCCTTTGTAAAATCGTGTGTATTGCTTATATATAGTTTATAACATTTATCATTAGGTGGATAGCATAGGATGCTTCATTTTTCCACAAAAAAATACTTGATTAGCTGTCTTCGTTTCTAGTTTGTTAGGGCATTATACATTATAGCTTTTTTCTTATAGAATGCAACAGGAATTTAATTTAAAAATTGACCTAAAACTTGCTTGATAATAGAGATCAATCTTTGCTCCCCGCGTAGCCTTGAATCCAATGAAATTATACCTTCAATCGCAGCTTTGAACCATAAATCATGGGCCCGGCCCATTGTTCCCTTATTAGATTGTTCTACTTGCCCAACTGCTTACAGAACTTTGTAAGACAGCAGACAAAAGAATGGTGGAGAGCCGCCGACAGACAGACAGCCGCGCTGCCCTAGATAAGCATGAAAAGCATCCTGAGTTCTGAATACTGATAGAGGACTCGTCCTGCCAAAAAATTCAATTTCCAGTTTGTGAAGAACAAAAGCACAGACGGAACCACATATGGATCAAAAGGCATTAGGCGAAGACAACTCGAGGAGAGCGGGAGCAGGAGAAGCAGATCTACTGAGGAGGAATCAGGACAATAACAACAACTAGGGAGCAAGGGACAATGATATGGAAGCGCCTGCCTACCCTTAGCCATAGTTTTTATGTTTTTATATTTTATGTTACTTTTATGTTTTCCCAATTTTTCACGTTACGGCTATAAAAACAGTTCCCGATTTCTTTTCTTTTCTTACGTTTGTTTTGTTTGTAGCTTAGGTGCGCCGCCGCGCTTTCCTTTCCCCCCTTTCCATTTCCACTCGATGGAAATGTAAATACGAAATTTTAATAATAATTGAAATGAATTTCCCTGCAAGCAAACGTAGAAACGGAGGGTTGTTGGAACCCCATTTGAATGATAAAAAACTGCATGCGGCAACCCACAGTTAAGTATGTAATTTTCTGCCATCCCATATGCAGATTCCGCAGAGGGTTCCATTTCGCCGGAACTGCCACTGACATCGATGATTTATAAACTGTTTTTTAATCGTCTACGACGCTGCTTGTCGCCTGGCTTCCCATTTAAATTTAAATTTCAGTTTCGGTAAACATTCTCAATCGAATCTGTGCAGTAATTGAGCGCTAAAGAGCGTGGAAAATGCTTGGAAAAGGGGGAAAGTCCGGAAAGTGGAAGAAAACCGTGGAGAATATTTAATTGAAGTGACTCGGTAAAGAGTGTCAACTGTACTCGGGATAATGATAATCGCTTGGAACCAGAAGAGAAACTTTGAGTGCCAGAAAAATGGGGGAAAATATTTGTATGATGGGACATATACTTATATCTGTAATGGGGTAACTAAAGAGGGAAATATGAGCCAGAGGAGTATCATCTTTTTCCCCATCTTGTACGTAAACATGAACGTATAACAGACCCTAGACTAAGAGTTTCAAAAAGAATTCAAATGGTAGAATTTCGGTATTTGAATTTCCAGTTGTAAAATGTTAAAACTTCTATTTCCTATTATTTTCCCACCATTTTTCCCGCTAAATAAAATCATATTTAAAATCAACAAACTGTATCTAATGGATTTCCTACCCAATCACTTCTTTCCACGTTCTTATCCACCCACAGAACTCATAAAAATTTGCAAGCTTTACTGTACTTTTTTTTCGCTGTTTCCTTCCTTTTTGGGTTGCATTTTCCACTTTTTTCCGTGGCATCTACGAGTATTATTCAATGGTTTGTAGTAAGGGAAAACCCGCTTACTCCTCTCCATTCATAGAATCTTGCTTCTTGCCCGCCAGCGCTTTTCCACCCCGCGTCGTTTGATGGCCAAACAAAAAGTTAAATCGAGGAAAAAAAAACAAGAGAGAAGAGATTTCTAGCGATTGAATGAATATTCTTCGTGGCATCGGGGTTAGTTTTTGAGGGTTTTCCCCCCCTTGGCCGGTGGTTATCTTCGAGGATACTTTTTTTTTGCCAGGATATTTCTCTTGTGCGCCG